AACACTCTGTGTCACACAGTAGCCAAACGTATCAGGTGCCCTCAGGAGGTCCAGCAGTGGCACCAGAACTCCAGAAGCCCTCCCACGGTTGCCCCCCTCAAGCACCAAGAAGACAGAGCATCCCTTGTCCCAGACCGAGAGTTCCTGATGAATCTATATTTCCTCCCTACCCCTTCTTCCCTTCTGCATCCCACCTTTTTTTTAGAGATAAAATAATTTTAAAAATTAAATCAAAACAAGTACTGCCGGCACTCTGCATGTGCTCAGAGTTCCACCCCTGTACGCCTTCAGATGTCCTGCTGCGAAGCTGAGCAAACCTTAACCCAAGAGCCACCCCACCAAACCGCACAGTGGATCCCACCCCCCCAACTCCCAGTGCACAAGGTTACAAAGCCCACCTTGCAAAGCAGAGCACAGCGGCAGGTCCACCCCTCCCCGACCTTTGATTACAGTTGCCACCTCCGGGTTGCATCTGTTGTATTTTTTCTGGTGGGCCTGAATACTGTTTGTAGGTTGTGTTTTTTCATAAGTTTTCCCATCTGAGCATTGATTCCTTTGATGTACGACAAAAGGAGTAGCCACTTGCTTGAAGTGAGTGGTTTAGATGATTTAGTTCATTGTTCACATATCCATCTTGCACAGTCGACTAATGTTTTGATTATGCCTCTTTTTTGCCGAGGGTGGTGTTTGGAGTTTTTGTGTAAATAACGATCTGTGTGAGTTGGTTTTCTGTAGACCTTGTGACCTAATTGAAGGTTAGCTTTGCGGATGACCATGATATCTAGAAATGGGAGTTTACCCTTGATTTCTTTTTCCATGGTGAATTGTATGTTCGGGTGGATGTTGTTGAGGTGGTCTAAAAACTCCATCAGTTCTGCTTCACCATGGCTCCAAATGATAAAGGTATCATCTACGTACCAGAAGCTCACTAACTGCTGGTAGAATGAGTTCTTCACCAATGGGATGTGATTTTCCAGACTTAGCAATCAACAGTGAAATGTGTAAGATGCACATGAACCATCAATGTTTTGTTGTAAGGCATTGCAAGACATGCTTGATAGTGTTGGCTGCTTTTGAAATTTGTAATAAAGTGATTGGAAGAAAATTAAGTTCTTGTCTGCCCTGTGTGCCTTCTTTCACAGGTTCAGTCAGTCTGGAAGGTTTCATTGCTTCATTAGAAAAGAACTTTTCAAAACTTGAGTTTATTAAGAATAATTATTTATATAAAATTTTAATTGGTATGAGGGCTGCAGTGCCTTTTCACCATCAAAGAATAATTGTTTGGAAAGATTCAACAGGGATTTAAAATAAAAATATGGCTTGTGGGAAGTAATGAATTTGATGCCATTTTACAAACATTCTGTAGGCATTGTAAATGACTCTGTGACAGAAAATATGATCTTTTATAATACTTCTGATCAATGTTCCCTCTAAGGTGTGTAGTCCTGTGAGCAAAACGTCTACTTTCTGAGCTACTGGCATTAAAGTTGTGAGCGAGTGATTTGGCTATTGCATAAATTAGTCTGCTCTGGAGCCATCCTTCCTGAGCTAAGGCAAACATGTGAGCTGGAGGCTAAAAAACCGTGAGATAGCTCACACTAACTCACCTTAGAGGGAACACTGCTTCTGATTACAATTCTATACAATGTTCAGATAATTTGTTGAATATTAATTCTATTGATTGATTTTTTGTTCAATTTATATCCCACCCTTCCCGCAAGCAAGCTCAGGGTGGATAACATCAGTAGAAAATATCCAGACAGTTTAAAATAATCATATAAATAAAAATTAAAACAGTTAAAAGATAATTAATCTAATTGGCAATAATTTCTAAGTCCCACAGCATTAAAACAATGTTAAAATAATAATTTGTCTTGATTGAAGATAAATGATGCTGTTATAAGCGATGAAGTGTTGATGCCTTTGTAGAATTAAAATCAAGGACATAGTAAAGAAATATGTTATAATTGCAATAAGGCAGCCTTTATGGAACTTTTTATGATGTAATAAGCAGTTGTGAAAATTTGATAAAGGGAAAAAGTGCATCCACACATTATGAACTTTTAGAACGGAAGGTATTTTACCAAGGGTTAATACTGTTACTTTGGGGGAAGTAAATGGTCCTTGAAAACCAAAAAATAACTAGGAAAAATAATGGCTTGAACTTAAAGGAATAAAGAAGATGGTTTAATTTTGCCTCCTTCAATATTTTATTGTTTTTTTATTTCAATTTATTAGCAATTCTGAAAAAGATGAGTTGTAGTTTCTTTATAAAGATTTGTTTAAAATTATTTTACCCATAATTTTCCTCTTATTACCAGAATTTTTATTGTTTATATCCTGACTAGGGAGCAAAGCCCATTGTGGACGAAGACAATAGGCCCTAGAAAGGTAGGGTGGGTGGGTGGTAGATAGGTAGATGGATAGATAGAGGGGTTTGGAGAAAGAGAGGGAGGGAGAGAGGGGGAGAGAGGGGGGAGGGAGGTGAGGGGGAGAGAGACATAGACAATCAGTAAGCCAGACCG